TGCCATTCCTGTTCGCACAGTCGAACGCAGTCGGCCTCAAGCTCTCTGTTGATCTCGGCAATCTTCCTGCATATCTTCCTGTTTAGTTTCTGCTGACTCACTCTTCGCTGCATAGATTTCTTGGCCGATACAAGATGAACAAGCCGGCTGTCCACCCTGGACGGCTCGGGAACGCTGTCATCGAAGCTTCCGCAGGGCCTGTCCCCACCTTCAGGTTCTTTTCGCTTGTCTGGCTATTCTATTTCTTTTGTAGCTCTTTCTAAGTGCGCAAGTAGTTTCCTGCACCATTCCTTGATGCCTTCAATCGGCCATTCCTGCTTCTCTCGTTGTCTGTGCTCTTGAAACTTGTCCCAGTCCACAACTCTAGCTTTTTGGCAGCCGTCCATCTTGCCTTCATTCTCTCCCATAGTCACGCACAGGACTCTGTGATCGCTCCTCAGATCCTCAAAGGTGTTCGACCAGTTGATCACACTCGCGTCTGACCAAATGGAGAGATCAGGGGACGTGCCGCGGCACGCGCCCTGTCCGATCCGGGTGTGCGATGCTGGTTCATTGAGTAGAACCAAGCCAAGCTCGTCCATCAGTCCGGCTAGCCTCTTCCCTTTGGGCGAGTTGGCTCCATATCCCCATTGCGTGTGCGGTACATTGAAGTCTCCGCAGATTAGGAGGAGACTGGAGGCATCCTTGGCCATCGCTTTGCGAAAAAGGGTACCAAAGTTGTGGGTGAGGCCCCTTTTTGAAGGGGGGCTGTACATGATAAGCACAAATAGGCCGGTCTTCCTGTTTCCAATGCAAGGCACGACCTCAATCAGGTTGTGGTCTATGTCCGACTCCTCGCTGATATCAATTGAATGGTCGATAAAGGCCGTCCTTCTCTTAACCAGGGTACACACCTTGATGTTCTTCCCTGTCCATTCGCACGGAGAACCACACACCACATAGCTCGGTAGCTGAGCGCGGTCGAAAGATTCTTGCAAAGCAATCATGTCGGGAAGTTTGCTTTTTGAAAGGTGAAATATGTTGCACCATTGTAACTTTCTTGTTTTTGAAGCCCCTACAGTTCCATCACCAGAGGATGCGTCTGCCGACAAACTTGGGGGGTGCAGCCATGGTTGCTATTCAAAGGCGTTGGGGGAATGCGACTGTCCGTGCATCTCTCCTTCTTCAGTGCAGGTGGCATTGACGTTGCTGCTCCTGTTGAGAATGGTCGATGCGTCCCTTCCCAATTCGTGTTGGCCTTGTCGCTGTTGCTGCAACTGTGCCGTTCCGCGTTCCAGATATTCGATGCGCTAAATGACGGCCACAAGTTGGGTATTGACTGCGGCATACTGTGTGTTCCTTTCCGCGTCAGACTCGTTCAGCCGAATGAGGAGCATCTCAAACAATCTCTCCGTCTTGTTGGTCAGTTTGTTTACCATTTCATCGATCGCATCTATCTTTCGGGCTCCCAGTCCTGCCTGCTTCGGTTCTTGCGTGCGATTTTCCGCGCCTTCAAAATGTTGAGAATTGCTTGGGCTCTTACGCTTAAAGCTCACCACCACCAACGCTTCATATTCACCTCCACAGCACATGTCCGTGTCTACGTCTCTTCCTGCTGAAGTTGTGTCATGTTCATCAGCAGCTCTATGGTAAGAGGAGGCGCCAGAAGATGGGGTCTCTGCGGAGTGTTCTCCGATTCGCTTGAGGATTTCGTTCAGCGTCTGTTGTAGCTTCTCAATTTCCCGCGTTGATTTTTACTCTGCTTTCTGGCCTTGGCCAGCTCTTGTCTAAGTTCTCTATTCTGTTCCTTCATTTTCTCCATCTTCGCCGCCAGGCCGGGGTCAGTGGCTGCCCACGGGCAGCCGGACAGATGGTGCCCTTGCACAGAGTCTGCCTTCGTTTCCGCGACTATGTCGCACCAGGTGATTTTGCGCGGCCCTTTATGTTGCACGGCCCTTCTTATGTCTTGTTGGGGGTGGTGTCGGTTCTTGCTGCAGCTTCTGCTCTGACTCCACCTTCTGCTCGTACTACGACTTTTGCTCCGTCTTTTTACCGGCGAGGGGGATCCGGATCTGGTTGAACGACCCATGACCTGTTGGGAGCGGGTTCTAGATCTCGAGCGACTAGGGCGGCCTCCTTCCACCCCACCAGCATTGCTATCTGATGGTGATGGGGTTCGCACTTGAAAGCCTCTGAACCTGGCATTCCAGTTGAGGGTGATTCTTAAGAGCGAAAGGAAGAGAAAAGTGAGCCCCGTAACTGTCTGCTTCAGTGAGCGACACCTCAACAGTAGCTTACAAGGGATGGGGGTGAGGAGGGATAAAAAGGGGTAGGAGTAAAGGTGTAGAAAAGAGGAAGAGACGTGAGGTGGTAAGCCAGAAGAAGCGACAACAAACTGAGGGAATAGGAGAGATAGGAAAGATGGAAGCACGGTCACTGGAGTCCAAGGACGGGGCACACTTGCGAGAGCTCTTGTCGGCGTCGGTAGATGGCGTAGAGCAAGTCCAGTCGGTCAGAGCTACACTGTTGTCGAAGGTCGTCGGCGTCAGGAGGTGACGTAGGGCGAGCCCAGTCGGCCAGAGCTATGCTGATGCGGAAGATCGCGAGCGCAGGCGCGCGCGCATAACCGGTTGGCACGGAATCCAGCAAGCAAGCGAGTCCGGCATTCCAGTTTCTCTGCTTCACTATGTGCGGAACCTTGTATTTGACCTAGCACATACAGTCAGCCGTAGGGTGCACTTCACCGCATATTCGGCACTGGGGCATACACTCGTATCCATTGATAGGGTTCTTTAATTCGCAAATCGGGCGCAGTTTGATATGTGTTCTTGGGCACACGTCAGGTCTGTGGCCGAGCCTGCCACATTCCTTGCAGAAGTCTATCTGTTTTCGATACACAGATACTCTTATCATAACGCTGTTGAAGTAAGTCCACGTAGGAACTCTGTTTCCTTCTTAGAGCAGTATCATGTTGGTCGTACTGCCGAGCCTCTTCGCATACGTTAGAGAGTGGTTTCTTGTGTTCACCAGGGCTTCCATCAGCTGACCTTGATTATATTTAAGAGGTACGTTGCATATAATTCCTTTTGTAACATGCTCAGGCGCTGAAACATATACATTTGTTTCGTATCTCTTTCCGTTGATAGTCAAAACCTTCATCTTGGCGATTTTCGTCACTGTGCTGTCTTCCGGTGTGCTTATCACCAAAATGTTTTGCGTGGGTTGGGGCAGATCGTGATCATCTCGTCGTCGCCCACTCCTGCTCCGTTGTGTATAGCCTCATCAAGACCCACACCGCACGTGCTCTTTATATTCAGCCCGTCCCTCGGTCGAACAATTACCTCGGTATCATCCCTAGGTAGTCTGGGCATCTTGCTGGCTCATAGAACCTTGCTGACGATGCTTCGGCGACCTTGGCGCATCGGGCTTTGTGAACGTGTGTTTTCTTGTCTCACCACTTTGTTTTGGCTCACGCGTCCTCTTGTTTTTCGTGTAACTTCAATTCACCCATCTGCAACGCTGTCAGCGCCTTCGTCTTCACTCGTGGAAACGCTTCTTCTTTGTTTAGTTCCGTGGTTCGTGGCTTCCCCTGTCCCTGCCTCATCTGCATCCATCTCGGTTGTTCTTTCAATCTTCGAGTTCGAAGCGGTATGCACCAGGCCCAACCACCTTTAGGATTAGACGCTCACTCATATAGTTCTTGCGGTCTACGAGCCTTAAAGGACATAAAGCTCACGCTCACCCAAAAAGCTAATAACCGTGGGTTCGCGATGACCTGATCTGTCCGATGATGTGCCACTTTCAAGGGTAGAGTTCAAAAAACTAGCGGAAACATTCACAAATTGACAGAGCCGATCTGACATGCGTTTGTTCCCACTGGCGACCATAGTGCATCTTCCAAGCGACGACAAGTTATAGCAATGTTGCACGGTCAAATAAATGTTTCTTTGCATCACTCGCTTTTCTGAAAGACTTACTGGTGCACTATGGCCACAGCATGAAGCTGTGCTCCGAATAAACGTTTTTTTTTGCCTACAAGGGGTTGCAAGTTGGGGGGTCGACTTATACGTAATCAGCTAGTAGTTTGACTAAGAGCTTTGCTGTTAAAAGATAAATAATGAGGTCTGTACAGAAATACCATCTTAACAAGACTGAAATACGTGGTGCAAGGTTGCCAATGATTGATTGATTGATTTGTGGGGTTTAACATCCCAAAACCACCATATGATTATGAGAGACGCCATAGTGGAGGGCTCCGGAAATTTCGGGTTCTTTAACGTGCACCCAAATCTGAGCACACGGGCCTACAACATTTCCGCCTCCATCGGAAAAGCAGCCACCGCAGCCGGGATTCGAACCCGCGAACTGCGTATCAGCAGCAGAGTAGCTTAGCCACTACATTACCGCGGTGGGGCAAAGTTGCCAATGAGAAGAACGAGAGGAGACAGAAAGAGCGCCAATTCACAACTAGTTGTGAGTAGGCGCTCTTTCTGTCTCTTCTCGTTCTTCTCATTGGCAACCTTGCGCCACGTATTTCAGTCTAATATGTACCAACTAGCCCAACATAACGTACTTCTAAACTTCATCTTAACAAGATTCACACATATTGTTCACGTGGCACAAGATTCATCTATGGTTTAATTTCACGCACCGTGGAAGAATCCTGCTTGAACTGAACTACACGAGACGTGAATGACTGAATGCGGCTGCGTCCGTTCTGTATCCAACGTGTGTCGCTCGGTCAATTGTAAGACTTGGCTAAATTTGGCACTCTGTGTGCAAATTGCCCTTTGTGCGCAACTTGGTGCAGAATGGCACAATTTGCGCAGTACTTCCACTCCTGCATACATGCACATCTTTGGTTCTTAAAGGGTTAACAGAAAATCAGACAGTTGCAAGTAGATGCCATAATACTCCTCAACTGCTAAAAAAAAGATGTGTGAGAAAATTTCTTGAGCAAACGCAGAGCTCTATCGGAGGTAACAGGCATTAAACTTTAAAGAAAAAGGCATGCAACCCACCTCAACAAAATTGGCAAGCAGTACAGGACTGAGTTCCTTCTCCAGGACAGTGCGATTGTGCTCATTATTGAAGCAGCAGCAGACAAGCGTTGGTAAGAGCACCTGTGTGAGCTCTGGATTGCTGAAGTACTCAAAAGGCAGTGTGCACAACAGTTGCAGAAGTGTGGGCTGTTCTCCCGGACTGTATCACGGCCTGTACAGAGGAAGAAAAAAAACTCGGCACAATGTACCAGTTCTGAATTTTCGTTCCGCAATACCAAATATACCAGAACCAACTATATACGTACTTGAAATATATGTATCGAATAGAAATAAGGGGCAACACACAGAAATACGAAAGAAATACAAAGTACTTGGCTGCAGTTGAACGTTCTCCATGCTGAAATTGGCAAATGGTAATGCAACTGCTGTACCAGACGTGCCTCAGACAGTACTTGCAGCAAGCTTAATGTTTAATAATATTCAATTTACGAGGAATATTCAATTTATGAGGCAACACAATGAACAAGGAGCGCGGACAGGTGCTTGCAGATTAACGGGAAGTCATAATCGACTAATCACAGTACGACTTGCGCTATGCATCAAATATTCAACTTATCAACATAACACAAAGGCCGGAAAAGCCTGAAGAGGAGGAGGGATTGTTTCTTAGAATTCGTGGTGTGCTGGCTGCTCTTAGCATTGCCACATGTGGCATTGCTGATCGTGACGGCGTTCTAGCCACAATGCACGCATTTACTTGAAATGCTTGAAAAAATATTGGAGTTGGTTTGGCACCCTTCAAGGGGAGATGCGATTCAAAAAAGTTTGCGTTATTCTGTAGCCTCAGGCAACAAATTTTTCGTTTTATATATAAGCTTTTGTGATGATTTAAAATATGTAGGCTTGTGCAAATATTCAAATGCTTTGAATATTCAAACGAATAGTTGAGTATTCAAATTCGCTTCAATTTGAATTTAAATTATCAAATATTTTCGAAGTATTCGCAATGAACAAATAAATGTATATTAATCGGCAGGTCAGTACCTGTAAAGATGGTTTCACTGCACTGTAGGGATGCTAAACAACGAAAACACTTACTCAAAGAAAAGTTGCTTTGCCGTGAAGCCCCCCTTCAAATTCGAAGGGGCCCTGCAACACTAATCGAACATGGTCAAAAAACGCTGCCTATCGGTAGTCGAGGCTACCGAAAACACGCGGGGCAAATATTATAACGCAGCACATGGCCAGTAATTCAATTAAATTCACAATAAATTTTCAAAGCTAAAAATTGATTTTTTTTTCCTTGGCAAATGACACTACAAACTCAAAAATCACTTGTCAGAGCCAAGAAGAAATATACAGCTCTGGTCACAGACGCTGGCTGATTTGGGCATGGTGCACTCATTGTTACCAGGGTCGCCACTTGTCAACAAGTACGTGTGCGATCGCACTGAAAAGCCGCGTATTCAAAGGAAAAAAAAGAGGTGCTCAAGGTGACGAGGTGCATGTGGAGTATTTTCTTTCACCGTGCCATTCCTCCCTGCTTAGCTTCCAGCTATTTCGTCAGGACGAGAAGAGAGAATGCAATTACAGCGTGCAACAAATTTTGGAACTCCGCTCGTACTGGACCGATTCTAGAAACTTTGCAGCAGTAAATTTGTGAGGCAACAAGCATGTTTACTGGCTCCATGGCTCTTTGGAAAAGTGTTGCAGGGCCCTTTTAAAGGAACATGTTACCCTCAAATCAATTCTTCATTTTATTAAGCTTATTATGACGGCTTATATGATCCAAGTATAATAAATTTTAAAACTGCTAAGTATCTTACAGGTTATCACTCACATTCTACCGAATCTACTACTCAAGGTTGTTTCGACTTCCTTTGAACGAAAAAATAAATAGAATTTGCATACAGCCCCTATCTCAATTCAAAAGAAATAGTTGTGCAGGTTAGTTTGGTCATGATAAATATTCCCTTTTTGATATGTCATACATACCATTTGAATTCCATTCGAAATTATTTGATCAAAATCACTATTTGCTTCGAATTCACGTTGAACCGGAAAATTCACTATTCGCACAAGCCTACCAATATGCAGTTAGTTTTATAGTAATTCGCACAGTTTTCGTTCTGTGCCGTGACAATGTACAAAGTATAGTTCATTTCGGACAAACTTTTCATGCCTCTGAACTTTCATGGTTCTGAGCCATTAATGGCTCATATTACTCTACATTAACTGTGGAATGCAAATATTTATCAAGAAGGTGTGTATAAAACATTTTGATGGTAAAGAAAAATTGTAACCTCAAAATTCTTAGAATCCTCAGACAATACCAATTGTTTACTTTATGTTCGCAATAATTATATAGGCAATAAGAAGTTTTAAAGGAAATGCTTGCACCCTCCGCATTTGAAGGAATATGCGGGCAAAATTTCATCCCTATCAGGCTATCAAAAGTACCAGAAACATGACGTACAAACTTAAGAAATTGCCTAAAATAGGCCTTGATAAAAACGCACTTTAAAGGTATACAGGAAAACTTATGTTGTTTAATATGATTTCTGCCATCATGAAAGCTTGGCAATGATGGTTATGGTGAGCATGTGGTTTTTGTAAACCCCGCATGTGAAATGCAATGGCAGGCAGCCAGCTGACAATTTCCAGGCGACTCTAGACAATGAACACTTTTTAGATTTTTAGAAGCCATATTGTTCTCTTTAAAAGCGATTTTAACCTACGTAATGTTTAAATACAATATTCAGTTTTTCTTGTAGAGAAAGTAAAAAGCTAAACTTGTGAAAGCAAATATGTAATTTCGGCAAAAAAACTTGCGTTTTTCGACTCGCATCTTCCCTTACAAGTACTACTGACATGAAAGTGTTGTGCATCAGTTTCTGTGTTTTCTTAGGTTGGGGGACACTTCATAACATCTCTATTGTTAAGGCATTCATTAGCCGGCAACCAGTAATCATACGCTATGGCGACAGTCACGGTCGAGCACGGACTCACAGCGCGAGCGGCGTCCGTGTTGGTAGCCCCTCTAGTAGATACTCAAGAGTTCAACCCATTTCAGTGATTGGAGGCTTTGCTACAATTACCCCGGAATCGAAGAGGGAGCCGCCTGGCTACCTCACAGCTTGTTACTATGAGCGGGTCCTAATAAGCCTTCAGGCGCTCCACGTTGACGATGTGGCGCCCACGGCGGCGCATGTCCGAAGATTGTTCGATGGGTTCGACCAGATAGTTGACCGGAGATGTGCGCTCGATGACACGGTAGGGGCCTTTGTATTTGGGAAGTAGTTTGCAAAAGAGGCCAGCTACAGAAGTGGGGATGGAGAGCCATACGAGCGCACCGGAAAGGAACGAGGGCTCAGAAGTGGTGGAGATACCACGAATACTCTTTTGCCGCTCTTGCTCATGCGTCATAAAAGTCTCGGCAAGCTCCAGCACTCTTCAGCAAGCCTGGCTGTCTCAGAAATAGGTGCACACTCAGACGGATCCGGCTTGTACTGGAGTATCGTGACCATGGTCTGCAACGGGTGCCTTCCATACAGCAAGAAGAAAGGTGAAAAACCGGTCGTGCTCTGAGGGGCAGTGTTGTAGGCGTAGGTGACGAAGGGCAGTATATTATCCCAATTCGTGTGGTTGGCGGTGACGTAGATCGAAAGCATGTCGCCGAGGGTGCGGTTAAAGCGTTCGGTGAGGCCATTCGTCTGCGGGTGGTAAGCAATAGTTTTGTGGTGGACAGAATGGCACTCCGTCAGAATGGCTTCGACGACTTCTGACAAGAACACGCGGCCTTGATCGCTGAGAAGCTCTTGGGGTGGTCCGTGGCGCAGTATGAATTGATGCAGCTGGAAGGACGCAACATTGCATGCAGTAACCGCAGGGAGAGCGGCAGTTTTGGCGTATCATGCTAAATGGTCTACGGCAACGATGGCCCAGCGGTTACCAGTCCGACGTCAGAGGAAGTGGTGCATAAAAATCGATACCTACATGCCCAAACAGGGCACGTAGGTCAGGGCAAGGCAACGGTTGAAGACCGGGGTGCGACATGTGTGCTGACAGTTTGCAGTATTGGCAAGCGAGGCAAAAGCGAACGCACTGCTGCACGTAGCGGTACATCTTGCGCCAGAAGTAGCGTTGTCGAATGCAATGGTAAGTCATGGATACCCAGAGTGCACGCATTGCGGATCAGAATGGAAAGATTCACATATCTCCGACCGCAGACTGCGGGATATCACGAGTAACCACTGCCGGCCATCGGCGTCGTAATTGCGACAGTGTAGGAGGCCATTACGGATGGCGAAATGGTAAGCTCGACGACGCAAGGCACGCGTGGATGGTGTTGCGGACGGATCAGAGGGCAAGTCAATCAACGGGGCGATCCATTTATCCTTTCGCTGTTCGGTGTCGAGGATGTCCAAATCGGTGGCAGAAACAGCAATTGAGGTTACTGAGCAGGGCACGTCACCTTCAGGCAGAGGGGAGCGCGAGAGGGCATCGACGTCAGCATGCTTGCATCCATTGCAGTACAGCACGCGGATGTCGTAGTCTTGTAAACGAAGAGCCCAACGGGCGAGACGACCTGAGGGATCCTTCAATGATGACAGCCAGCAGTAGTGCATGATGGTCGGTGACGACATCAAATGGGCGACCATACAAATAAGGTCGAAACTGTGTAAGGGCCCAGACGACCGCCAGGAACTCTTTCTCCATGATAGTGTAGTTTGTCTCGGCTCTCCTGAGCATACTGCTTGCATATGCTACGACATATTGAGGGAATCCGGGTTTACGCTGCGCCAGGACAACGCCGAGGCCTACACCGCTGGCCTCCGTGTGCGCCTCCATTGGGGCCGTAGGGTCGTAGAGGCGCAAAATGGGAGGAGACATCAACAAATGACGGAGCTTTGCGAACGCATCGTCGCACTCGGATGACCACGAATTGAGGGGCCCGTTACTTCCAAGGAGCTTCATCAGCGGTGATATGATCGTGGCGAAGTTTCGTATGAAGCGTCAAAAGTATGAGCACAGGCCCACGAAACTACGCAGTTCTTTAACGAACGCAGCTTTGGGGAATGCGGCCACAGCCCGAAGTTTGGCCAGATCAGGAAGAATGCCGTCCTTGGACACCACATACCATAGGATGGTGAGTTACCATGCTGCAAAGTGGCACTTCTTCAGATTTAGTTGCAAACCGGCATCGCTCACACGTGCGAAAACTTCTCTCAGGCGTTGGAGATGCGTGGAGAAATCCGGAGCAAAGACAACGACATTGTCGATGTAACACAAGCACGTGTACCATTTCAAGTTGCGCAGAACGATGTCCATCATGCGCTCAAAGGTCGCAGGTGCATTACATAGACCAAACGGCATGAAGCTGAACTCGTACTAGCCGTCGGGTGTGACGAAGGCGGTCTTCAGTCGAGCGTCGTCAGCCATGGATACTTTCATTTCACTTCATTTCATTTTATTACCTTAAAGACCCCATTGAAGGGGTATTACATAAGGGGTGGGTACATATATGAAAACGTGAAAGCCATTTTTTTTTTTTTACAATGCGAGGTAATTTGTTACGGTGTTCAAAAAGGTGGTAGGACAGGTTATGGCGGTGATTTCGTTAGAAAGGCCGTTCCAGTCCGTAGCTGCACGAAAAAAGAATGAGGACGAAAAAGTGACGGTGCGCGTACGCGGCCGCTCAACTTGTTGCGGGTGACCAGTGCGATGAGAGATGCGTGCCGGAGGAAGAATGTATGGTGGCCTGCCGAGCGAGCTGTAAAAAAACTTGTGAAAAAGGGAGAGACTAGAAATGCGGCGACGAGATGCAAGCAATGATAGGCCAGATTCTGTTTTCAGTGCTGATATGCTGACATCGTAAGAGTACGTAGAATGAATAAATCGTGTGGCTCGATTTTGAAGTGACTCGAGTTGATTGATGAGATATGCTTGATGCGGGCTCCAAATAGGGTACTTGCCAGTACCCTGAGCGCAGATCGAGAGAAGAAAAAAATTCGGCTCCGTGAAGGCTGTCAATCGCGTCATCGATGCGCGGCAGTGAATAAACATCCTTGCGAGTGGATAAACATCCTTGAGCCGCCTGTAGTCCACACAGAATCGCACAGAAACGTCTTTCTTCGCAACAAGAACAACAGGAGATGCCCATGGATTGTCCGAGGGCCGAATAATGTCGCGTCGGAGCATATCGTCAACCTGCTCGTTAATTTCCCGACGTTCAGCAGGCGACACGCGATATGGACGTTGCCGTAAAGGTAGATTGGCACCAGTGTCGATGCGATGCATAACAGCGGACGTGCGACCGAGAGAACTTCGCCCTACATTGAAAGAAGAACGATATTCTTGCAACAGGTCCAGAAGCTGGGAACGCTGTACCGCCGTAAGGTTGTCAGTAACGAAGGGGCCAAATACATCAGCAGATGACAGATCAGAAGTGGAAACAGCATTGATGGTACGCGAACTGGGACAATGCGAGTCATCGGGTATGTCTAGGACTTGTGCGTCGTCGACTGGTTCCACTCTGCCGAGACATTCCTCTCGAAGCAAGGTAACAGTGTACGGGAATGGGTTGGTTAAAAAAATAGCGGCGTTGCCCTAGGTGACTTGCACGGTCGCGAAAGGTACTAGCAACCCTTTCTGGCTACAAGCGCGGTCGGATGGCGAAACGAGTGCAATTGTGTCGGAGAGACCGGCGCAGTAGACCGACACAGCCGTCGTCGAGTTCGGAGGCACTGTTGTATCGTCTTTCATGAGAATCTTGCTCAGTGTCGAGAGACTGTCATCTAGCGTCGAATGCGAGAAGGGTGAGAGTTCAATTTCGGCGGAGGCACAATGAATGACGGCGTCGTGGCGGGAGAGAAAATCCCCTCCCAGTATGACGTCATGAGAGCATGCCGGAATGATGATGAACTGGGCGACATACAGAACGTCCTGAATGACAACGCGAGCTGTGCACTCTGCTGTAGGATGAATACAATGCGAACTAGCAGTACGGAGGGACAACCCAGGAAGTGGCGTCATCACTTTTCGAAGTAAGCGGGAAAGTTTTTCGTCCATAACTGACACGGCAGCTCCAGTGTCAATAAGAGCCGATGCACGGACACCGTCCATAAACACGTCAGTGACATTCGAGGGGCTGCTCCGAGGGCTTTTACATTGCGATAGCGTCGCAGTCCTTGCCTCGGGGACTGTGACGACTAGTTTTCCCGCTCATGAGCAGCCGAACTTGGCCGCATGGGGACAAGGAACGGCGTCGTGGAGATGGCGACCTTCGAGGATATGGACCTGGGCGAGACAGCGGTGGCATAGACAATGGTTCGTCGTGATAGGGACGGCTGAGCTGACCAGCAACAGGCGAAGAAACAGGAGCCTGCTGTACGCGAGAGCAATAACGTGCTACGTGACCGGCGTAACCGCAGGCAAAGCATATGGGCCGGTTGTCGGGTGTGCGCCATCGGTTCACCGGGGTAGGTCTCACCCATGTCGCAAGAGCCGATGGACGGAACTGTGGCTGAAAAGGCTGCATAGTGGGCTGAAGCTGAGGCTGATGGGTTGCGTTGACATACGTAGCGGGCATACCCGCTGCAAAGGACGGAGGTCGAGCGGCAGCTTCGACGTAAGTCACAGGGACGGGTGCTGGAACGACTTGAGGCGGCCTGGTGACCACTTGGGCGTAACTCAGGGGCACAGGAGCCGGAGGTTGTTTGGGGTGGTATGCAGGCATGACCTCCACTATTTCCTGCTCAATCACTCGACGGATGGGAGGGGGAAGGGTAGTAGCTGATTGCTGAAGAGCCGGTGGGAAGGCAAAGGGCAGGAGAGAAAACTGGCCCGTGATTTCCTCACGGATGAAGGACTTGAAATCTGCCATCAACGCCACTTGGTCACAACTGGCCTCCAAGCCAGCAAGCGTTGCAGCTCGTGGTGGGGAGCGACGGGCCATCGAACGCTGCCGGCAGAGCTCCTCGTAGCTCTGGCACAGTGTGATGACCTCAGCCACTGTGCCGGGGTTTTTGGCGAGCAGCATTGGAAGGCATCATCGTCAATGCCCTTCATGATGTTTCGGATCTTGTCACACTCTGACACGGTATGATTGAATTTGTTGCACAAGTCCAGGACATCTTCCATATAGCTGGTGAATGACTCACCAGCCTGCTGAGCGCGTTCACGTAAGCGCTTCTCAGCTTGCAGCTTACAAACGGCAGGGTGGCCGAAAACATTGATTACAGCGGTCTTAAAATTGGACCAGGTTGCAAAATCCGATGTGCGGTTGTTGTACCACAAACTGGCTACGCCCGCAAGGTAGAACACCAAGTTTGTCAACTTGCCGTTCTTGTCCCATTCGTTGGGGACGCTCACGTGCTCGTAAATGGCGAGCCACTCCTCCACATCAGTGCCATCGGCGCCAGTGAAGATGAATGGATCGCGAATCCTGGGGACACCGGGACAAGAGGGTGGCATGGGAAGAGGCGTTTGCTGAGAGGCGTCGTGGGGCATGGTAGATGGTAGGGTACATGATCGAAGCTCTAAGGGCATCGAAAGAGAACGGAGCACTCTCCACCAGTGGTTAAGGCGTTTATTAGCCAGCAACCAGCAATCATACGCTATGGCGACTGTCACGGTCGAGCGGCATCCTTGTTGCATAGCCCCACTAGTAGGTGCTCAAGAGTTCGACCCTTTTCTGAGTTCAGAGGCTTTGCTACACTATAATGGTTATAATTATGGTCAACATGTAATTAGGAATATTGCACTGTTCAATAGATTTGGGCTCTACAAGTGCCACGATTTATCTCAAGAGCGCTTGCAGCAGATGGAGTTGAGAGAGAGACGCGAGTCGGCGGTAACACGGCAAACACATTTTAATATTGCACAAAATGGCAAAAATCTAAACAAACCCTTAAAACGCAAAAAAGAAACCCACACAATAACAGGCTATACAGTGAAACCGGAACCAACTTCAATCTGAGTCAAATTCAATCCTTAGCCTTTATCTCTCTCTAGCTAAAATAACGTTTCGGTAACGAAACGTTTTTACAGTTCATCGCGTTGTTTTGTCAACTCCATGCCCTTGCAGTGTTTATGGTTTGTCGAGTCTGTCGTCAACGTCCTCGTCAAGCTCCAACGGTCATCGTCGGTAGTTTCCACCCAATGTGCCGTTTGTCCTCATTGCCGGTCTCCTGGTATTATCCATCATTTTCAGCCTGCTTGGTGAAACCCAACTCGTCAATGGCCTCAGACTCCCTTTGTTGACTGGTGTGGGCCACATTCATTATGGCTCGAAGTGGAAGAGCTATAGTCCCCCAAGGAACTGCTGTGCCAGGTTGTGGCAAGTTCGAGCAGCCTCACTCGGGATCACCGAGGTCGCCGGCTACTTCCCTGGGCCTTTTGCGCTGACATCCTTCAGAACAGGGTGGCTCTACTGCTTTCGTCATGATAGCGATGCTGACCGTCCTGACCTTTGCAGTTTGAAGCTCCACAGCCCAGTGACAGCTCATCCTCCGGAATTTCCCATTACGGCTCGAGTCGCGTGCCACGAGCCTCTCTTTCCAATTTCATACGTGAACGTGGTGCTTCAGCGCCCCATCGGGGATCTTGAGAATATGCGCGGCATTCCAGCGCCCGGCACGTGCTTCGCGCCCTCTTTTTCATGACAATAGTGTAACTTCATTGAAAGCTATTCACTAAAGTATGAAAATGAGACAAAATTTTTGTATTAGATATCAATGCAAAGAGTCACTGTGGCAAATGTGAGTGAGTAAAAGATATTGTACATCCCTGGGACCAAGGTTGAACTGTCCAGTTCACGAGAGTTACTGCTGCTGCCACTAACAGTACTGAGTTACCAATTCGGCGACTTCATCTCTCACATCATGTGAACAGTTTTGTTTCCAACTTCTCGATAATAAATAACAGCCTCGTTTATATGCTACAAGCACTGCTTGTGCCTGTTTCTAGAGGTCCCAAATACAATCAAGAAGCCAAGTAGCTTCAATACACTGAAACCTAGTAAGTATCTGTAAATAAATTTAAACGTCATTCTAACAAGTTGCATCTTACACGAAAATAAGTTTGTTATATCCACAAATTCATTATAAAGGTATATTCCTAACACCCTCTCTACTGCATGAATCATTTTTATTTACTTCGAGTGTACACAGTAAAGTCCAAGTAAGCTTACCTGGTTGTCCACGGAAAGCACGGCAAAATGGCCAATCAGCAGCACCACCTGATGAAGGAGTGCCCATTCCTCCCAGTGAGTGCAGTACCACAGCAGGTAGCTGGCAATGTGGCGCAGCTGCAGGGACATGCCTTCTGCTCCCAGCACAGCCTGCATACGTTCGCCAACCACACCACTAAGTAAGCCCATGCACTGCACAGATATGAAGCTTGCCAACTTTAAACCCTTTAACGCCTGGATTATGGAACCGTCGAACAAAATAGGGATTGTTTTCATTTACCAGTTTTAAATAGCAAACTTTAAATGATTCCACTGTTAAATTATTTTAAATGGAACTTCAAATGCCTGCTTTTATGTATGTTAGGAATTCTCCATATGCCACAAAGGCACAGACCTTGGAACATAGCACGCACGTACTTCAGAACTTTGTAACATGTTATGCATCAGTTCTTGGGTGCATACACACTAAACAAATAAAATTTTGAAGATAAAACTTACTTCAGCCAGGCAAGAAAGAACAAAGAAGTGAGAGCATGTGCTTCGCTCTCTCCGCCATAAGCTACAAAACAATTGGTTCTAGTGTAAAACACCTTGGACGAGAGGACACTAGATTTTTCAAGCTGAAAACTACATTCCCTGTGAGTACTTGACAACCGGAATTGAAAGCAACACGCATTTCATAACTTGCTTGCTCAAAGTTTTTCAGTGTGTCAGGAATTCACGACACTTGGAAGTAAAGGGTTAAAAGGCCTCTTTGGATGGCAGCCTTTCATGTTCATATCAAGCACATTAGTCAAAAAAGAGTAAAACTTTCCCAACTATATGAATAACTCAGAACCTCTATTCAGTGAATTGATAATCATTAGTAACATCTTTTTAATTTAACAGCAAAAAAAGAGGAATTTACCTTTGTATTGTAGATAAACACTAACCTTTCTTCATGTGCAAGAAAGAATTCTAGAACTCGCTTTCCCTAAAAATCACACACAGCTTAGAAATTGCCCCAAGAATTAATCTTTCTGCTACTTCTCCAAAGAATAAACTAGTATTATCAGCGCTTCTGTGTCAGTCACTTTTCCAGCATTAAGTGAGTACTGAATATTACACTTTTAAATATTTCCAAAAGGCACCTGTGCATCCAAGACTAGTGCATACTCATGAGAACAAGTTTCCAACCACTACGATAACAGTGTGTGAGAAAGACAACAATAAGCAGTTCTTGTTTTTGGCACACCTATGCAATACCATAATGTGAGTGACACCCTGTTGCATACCAGACGCAACATATGCAATTTTTTTTTACTTTCTGAAAACTCTATGGATGGTTACTATGCTTGCACAAAATTACTCACTTGGAACATGGCCAAGTCAAGCCGTGCAACGTGATTAAGCAAGGCTATCGCTGCGCTTGCAATGGCTAATCGTCCCGGAGACAGCAAGGCAGGTGTCTGGTTCCCAACACGCCAACCAGATGGCACTCCCATTTCCAGCAGTGTCCCATACAGCAGAGACACTGAACCAGCGAGCTGTGTGACTCCAATAGTTGCGGCTAGCTGAGTTGAATCTTCTTGCTTGCGATGCTTCGCCCGGCTGACAGCAAGAAAAGATAACCATTAACACCCTTTGTCAACTAGTTGACTGCTGGCTATCAGGTCCGCTGCTGTGAAAGAACTACAGAGCAACTTAATCCATCGAAGTTTTCACTTTTGCAAGACAACTGCAGTACGTGAACACTTTGATTAGCAGTTGATGCAGTTGGTCAGTGAATACACAGATGATGTACAGATCTGTCATTGCTGAGCCATTACCGTGGCCACTTGTAAGCTCCAGCAATAAAATCTACTAGTCAGAATATCCATCTGTGAGTAACACAGAATTACCCACCCCCTTCGTTTTCTATTGTTGTACTGTTGCTTGTATCAATAGTAACTGTACTGTGGGATAGCTGTTACAAAGTCTTTCACATTTTTTTTTATTCTCTTGCACTATTTCACCATCTGGAATACTAATCAAACAAATAAAAGAAAGCATCCTTAGCATGCTTGACTCTTTTAAACAATTTATGTGAGCTTCATTGATGGGTACAATGCTAAATCAAAAAAAAAGAAAAAGACACATTTGACAGAAGCAATAACCTGTTTGGTTGCGCTATTACTCTTGAGAAAATAGTGGCTTCACTAACGGCACCAAATTGTTAATGAATGACAATAATAGAGACTGCAACTTTTCGGCTATAACCTGGTGATTTTTCTTATTATAGTTTATAGATCTTCCAATCAGAAGCAAGTTATTTGTTAACTAGTGCACGTTGGATGCAGTCACTAAATTTTCGCTTCTAATTTTCGCTTGTAGGAAAAGCAGAGCATGAATCATGCAAGTAAGTACGGTTTGTTAACTAAATGGCAAAATTTAATACCTGTACAATGGTCAACAACAAGCATTGTGTGAGTGTAACGACGCAAGGACTGAGAAAGCGCAGCTCTTTGCAAGCAGACGCTTGTTACAACACCACATGTTTCCTGCCAATTCAACCCAGCTAAGCACAGGCATACCGTATTTACTCGATTCTACCGCGCCCTCGATTGTAACGTGCACCCGATTTCCACCGCGAAAAAAAAAAAAAAAACGTAAGACATCGATTGCAACGCGCACCCATTTTTTCTCGCTGGCCCGCATGATCACACCACTCGAAAAAACGACTCCTTTCGGGAGCGTCTTCCATTTAAATATGAGGTACGGGCGAAGCTTGTGCCCATCTGACGTGTAACAGAGCATTGCCGTCACTGTAGTTTTACCGTGGACCGATGTCAGCACGCGAACTTGCTTCGCCCCCTTCTTCTCGACGGTTGTGGTGCCAGGCATGTCGAAGTAAAGAGGCGCCTGATCGGCATTCCCGATTTGCCCAAGCAGGTAGTCGTTGTTGCGCCGCAAGTTTAGGACGAACCTCTGAAAACTGTGAAGCTTTTCATCGTACTCCTCCGCAAAACTTTTCGCATATGCATGTTCCCCTTCGGAGGGAAAAGCCTTTCCTCTTCATAAAGTTAGTTAGCCAGCACCTTCTCGCTTAAAACTGGCTCCGCATTAGACATTTTTCTAAGACTAATTGCATAGCCCGCACTTGGAGCAGTTCTGCCGTCACGGGCCGCTGTGCTGCTCGCTGCTAAAGCACATACTCGCCGAGCAGCTCTTTAATTTGCGGAAACCGACCCTGCTGTGGTCCACTGAAGCCTTTACGTAAAGCTTTGCTGTCGAAAATCTTCTGCTTTTGTTTCCGCCGGTACCGCACGCACGTTTCGGGAACTCCGAACGACCGCGATGCGGCCCGATTTCCGTCCGTTTCTGCACACGCGATGACTTTTCTTTTAAAAGCGGCATCATGGTGCACTCGAGTTTTTGGAGTCGGCCATTCCACGCCGTCGATGCTAATGCACTACTAGATGACGAATTCCTTAGCACACATACGAAGTGCCGCACATGAGAAACACATAGGCAGAAATGGACGACGCGCCATGCCGACGCACGTAGGGGGCGGCCATTTTAGATTTGCCGATGGCAATAGATTGGCCGTAATTTTTTTGTTCGTACTCGATTCTAACGCGCATGCGATTTATGAACTCACTTAACCGGAAAAAAGGTGCGCGTTAGATTCGAGTAATTACGGTAGTCCATTTTCAAGTAAACCCCAATATAATGCTTGATTTCTACACCCTAAGAAATATTGACAATTAAAAAGTCAGTCTTAATTTCTCCTTCTTAAACTCAAGACAACGGTCTATTCCCAAAAGGATGATTTGAAGAAGTATCAGCTAGGATGAATCACCCAAAACAGTCCTTGCATTCCGGTCTACCCGTAGATTGACACTGTCTACAAAACCAGCGTTGTACACAAAGGGGCACTGACATGGCTTTATATCAGGTATGGTAGTTGTCATGTTTAGAGGATGTATTCATTTTCAAAATACGTTTAAAGTCTTGATATATCTATAATAAATACAGCAACTGGGCATGTACACATGTCACTTCTTTGGTTCGAAGCACTAATTCATATAGTTGCAGGACTTGAATACTATAGCCAGGTACGATTTTAGAGTCCGCAGCATGTTTTTCTCAAATGCAGATGCACAAAAGCCTGCACCAATGGGCATGCACTCCAAAGTAATGTCATGGGCCGAACGACGGGTAACTCCGCCTTCGGAGAGTTTTGCCGGGTGCATGAGTGAGACCATTTCTTCACTTGCGGATCGGATGCTATCCTTCAGTCATTTGGGCAGTGCCTCCCTGGATTTAATAATTGATGGGGTTTAAGATCCCAAAACCACGATATGATTGTGAGAGACACCGCAGTGGAGGGCTCTAGAAGTTGCGTCCACCTGGGATTCTTTAACATGCATCTAAATCTACGTACACTAGCCTCGAGCATTTTCACGTGTATCAAGAATGTGCCCGCCATGGCTGGTATTCAATACCATGACCTGCGGGTAAGCAGTCAAGCAATATAACCGTTAGCCCACTATGACAGGTTGCTTAAGTTGTATCTGTCTATGATAAGGTGCCAGTTATCATCTGTAAAATACATAACACTTTAAGTTCGATACATTTACAGCATGAAAATATTTAAATACGATATTCCGGTGTCTATAATAACTAGGGCATCCCTCATTAATGCTCACATTACTAGATTCGCTGGAAACAGTGATTTCATTTTACCCATCGTTCGCACGAATTACGGCAAGCAATTGCTACATTTCTCAGCACTTGCTTCATGGAATTCACTACCATCTACTCTAAAATCACTAAATGCCCCTAGGTTCCGATGTGAACTTAAAGATTTTCTGCTTGATTTGTCTTATTCTGGTTCTTCCCTGCTTTAGGTGTTTTCATTCGGTAGTTTTTCTCTATGTTCTCATCTTTCCTCATTTTTGTATCCCTTTTCGGTGATTTCCCTTATTTGTTTTCATATTTTGTTTATTGGTTTGAGGTTTACTATGTTGCATTACTGTTTACTCCTTTTAAAATGTCTCCCACTTCGTCATTACTCTCATAGACTATGGCACATTACTTGTTTGATGCTTGTTATTAATGCTGTTTATAAGTTATTTCTTTACTTGATTCTAATTATCATTATTATTATTATTATTAAGTTCATGAATTGCCAATTTACTTGTGTTGTTGACTTTGTTATCATGTACAGGAGGTCCCAATTCAGTTCTTACTATGGGATCTCCTTTGTATATACTAATTATGTATTCTCTCCTTTGTTTGATGTGAAAATAAAATGATTCTGATTCTTATTTGCTATACTTAGCATGTATGACAGGCTTCTGGACTTTACAAAAAGATTAGTCAGCAGGGTTTAGAAAATATGCACACTCTATCTGGCAATGTGGCTTTGCAGCAATGCATATTTCTCCTTAATGAGTGGTTCCATAGTATAGTGGCCCCACAATGCAGTGAAACCACCTTTTCAGGTGAGTTTAATGCTGTAAAATAAGCTATTCATTCTTATTGAATAGTATAGTAGTTCAAAATTTAAGAAACTTATATTCTGTTGAAGTTAGTGAAAATTTGTGCAGGCCTAACACAAACAGTCAGAAGGCAAATTACAATGCACATCACAAAGTTTTGCAATCACGAGCATCGCATTTTTCGTGAAACATGCCTGTGCACAGCATTGGCTGTGACGATAGTTATAGCGCGAGAACAAAACGACGACACAGAGACAAGAAGGACGGTCTGTGTCGTCGTTTTGTTCTCGCGCTATAACTATCGTCATGTCATACCAACTATCTGTGAGTAAATCTTTTTCCTTTGTTAACCAAGAGTAAGAACGAGCTGCAATGCTTCTTGAACTGCAGCAACACAAAAAAAAAGAGGGCCATTAACTAATATGAAACCATCAAGGATCCTTTATTGTGACAAAGGCAACAGCTATGTCCATGATGAGAAAGTACAATCAACACAGACATGAAGTGTGATAACACACGATACCATGTGCTGCCCCACTTTATATCCTAGTAGTTCACAACACAAACATTGTGACATTAATATTACACCTGCATTATGTCACTGGGGCCAGAAATCAAAACCGCCAGCTTGTTAAAAAAAAAGTGTCAATGCATATTGGCCACAATAATCGGCATACTACATCTCAGCACTGGTAAACAGTAAGCAGAATCAAAAGTGCATTCAATAAACTTAATTTGGCTCTATGCCATCCTTTTGCACCAATTAAAAAAGAGCACTGACCAGCTTACCTAACAACATCAAGCAACCTGTGAACCAAGTCTTCGGAGGCCATCACCTCAGAGTCTGACCGAATGACGCCCTTCAGTGCCGCTCTTATGAGCCCCACCATAGCAGCCACTGTAGAGTCCTGGCCAGGCTCCAAGCAACTGCCAGAGCTCGGAGCCCATTCATCAGGGAACAATTAACTGAAGAAAACATGCGAGAACATGACGCATGACCAGAAATTAATAATAAAGCCTGATAAGCCTTTTTCACAAGATAGAAACAGTTACACAGTCAAAGCATTGTAAGCAATACCTGAAGAGAATTGCAAAACATTTCAGTATATATGATGAAAAATCCATTAACAGGGGTTGTGTCGCACTTCCTAAGACAAGATGTCGTGATTCCCAAGACAAGGTATGTGACCTTCACTCCCCAAGGACACCAAAGGTCTCACGTAAACAACAAGGTGAGCAACCACTTTGACTCACATTAAGACGGTGTACAAGGATGTCCAACAGGAAGCCAACACGGTTACTCAAAACGAGGTAGTCGCAATTGGTGGGGCTCTTCTCGCATGAAATCTTCAGCACGGTACATGCTCGTACGAGGCACCTGAAAGTACGCAAGGTGGAACAATTAACATTTTACTCTGTTCGCAGCCCCACACTAACAGCTAAAAGGGAGGAATAACAAAAGCTTTCTCACCGTGGAGGCACGACTGGCTGCAGCTCAGCGGTAGGCCTTGAAGAGGCAACCAAGCAGATCAGTGAGGCAGGTGAGGCCACCCAGAGAACACAAAGTGTCCCCCTCCGAGCAGCCTCCCATCATCAAGGTGCGTTCCAATTCGCCCAAGGCTCGATCCAAGCTCGACACCAAGACGCTTTCCCAAGGTCCCTGCCCCTGACTGCTCAAGCATCGAGACACTTCCTTCACCGCTTTGCTTAGCCTGAAACACAACAGAAACTGAGTGAGTTATGATCTTGCTGACCCGAGTCTAAGGTGTTGGGCTTGAGCACAATTCTGTCCCAGATTCTACAGCAACCAGCAGATGTTATGTTGGACAGCACTAAGCCATCAAAGGTTCTCTGCCAGCTTTGTTCCATGCATAAAAAACTGAGCACCAGAGACTGTTTACAAAGCCATAAACAGCCACTGCGTGAATAGTCTTACAACCACTTTACGGCTGAGACATGCCAGAGACCCACGAGAGTTAGCCCTTTCTTTACACAACTGTAAAGAGAATTTTTCTGGACCCCTTAATTATAGAACACATTACACCAATCAAGTGGAATGCATGATGCAACAATGCAGTGGAAAGAGAAAATATCCCATACTCGTGCATTCGTTCATAGTGAATAAGAAACCTGTAATGGACGCCAAAACGTCGATTCTTTTTTTTTATGTGTGTTCTGTTTAATTGGAGAGCATATGTTTTGTTGATCCATTATTTTTCCTCTTCAGACAAGTTTTCATTAAATCCAAGACTTCATCCCACAGTTGATGCAGAATCTTGATAGATCCATCTCCTGCTGTTTACAAGAAAGAAAATGTTTGAATTCACTTTGATATAACAGCCTGCAACAGGTTTTCAAGTGATTGATGATTGATTGATTTGTGGGGTTTAACGTCCCAAAACCACCATTTGATTATGAGAGACGCCGTAGTGGAGGGCTCCGGAAATTTTGACCACCTGGGGTTCTTTAACGTGCACCCAAATCTGAGTACACGGGCCTACAACATTTCTGCCTCCATAGGAAATGCAGCCCCCACAGCCGGGATTTGATCCCGCGACGGTTTTCAAGTGTTCTTTGGGTTTAGGCCAAGAGAAAACCAAAGCAAAAAGCAGATTTCATCACGGGAAATGTGAGATAAACAAGAGGAGCTGAGGAGACCAATTTTTTTATATATTTATGACCACAGGAACTAAACAGCATACGAATCAAATGAAGTTGTAAGGTGGTCTTTTTGTTTTTGTAAATTAAATCATTGAATATTAAGTAGAAAGAAATAGCCTTATTGTCTGTTGACTCTTTCCATGAGATCTCACATATGGGATCATGCACCAGTTTAATACAACTCTTTATTTTTCATTACCCCAAAGACACATAACATCTTAGAAACACATATTTAGTATTATACAAAAATCTAAAAATGTTTACCGAGAGAAATTATATTTTGCTTCTAATGTAAAGATGAAATCAAACAACATGGACCACCAAGACTAAAGCTAGTGATTTCCAAACAAGCACAATTAGCTTCTGACTAGTGCACATCATCATCATCATCCTCATCCCGACTACACCCACTGCAGGGCAAAGGCGTCTCTCATGATCCGCCAATCAATCAGGTTTTGTGCTTTCCGTTGCCACGTTATACGTGCAAACTTTTTAATGTTGTAGCGGCGAGAGAAGAGAGACGTGAGACGGCGTCGTAGGCAGCCGACGGGGCCGTGCCGATTGCGCCACTTTATTCCACGCCCGAAGCCGAGCCGCGGTAGCTGTCCCCGTCCGGCGCGCCAGGTGCGTCAGCCTGTTCTAATCCTCGCGCAGCTCGAGCTAGCATCAGCTGCGCGAGAGGCGCGGCGCGGTGATTGAGAAATGATGATGGTGATGATGGCGCTACAGGGCTCCCCCCCCCTAGCGCTTTGCGCGATTTGAAGGCATATGAGAAAGAAAGAGAGCGACAAAGGCTATATACATGAACGGCAATCCATAAAGTGTTCATTTGGCAAGTCCAGGTTGTCAACGTTTATGGGCCATCAGTAGGCAGTGTGTCTCCAGTGGGCGACTCTGGGAGAAGCGCAAGGGACGAAGGTGGAAGTGCCGGGTCGCTGTGTTCATAGACACGTCCATCCCACAATTACGCGGCGGGACCATTCGAATGCGCACCCGCCGTTTCGAGTAGACGCGGCTGACAAACGTGCCCACAGCTGGAACTGTGGACAGGCGCTGAAGAGCTCGCGCCGGCAATGTGGGCGAAATAGTGTGAAGGATCGGAACGCACCCATGATGACCGAGCACTGAAGTTTCACAGCCACAGCGGAGTCTCGGACAGCGCACAGGGTGCCGAGCATGCTGTCGACAAGGAGCAGCGTCGCGGTCGTGCTGGTGCGGACGTCTCTGTCGATGAAACACCGGCCTCCGCGTAGCACTGCGACCGGCATGCCGGGGCGTGTGGCCGAGACGTTGGATGCGGAAACGCCGTGCATTGCGGCTAGTCATGTGCATGGCAAGTGGTTGGCCCTTTCGTCGGGAAAACCTCGTAGGTGTTTGCGCCGTCTTGAAGGCCAAGGCTGCAACACATGACTGTTTAGCAAGAGGCTTGAAAAAGGGCCTCTGTATTATGCCGAACGTGATGATTTCGTTGGCATACTCTCAAGGGCGGCAGATATGCAGTTGGACCGCACGTCGTCGCTGTTGTTACCAACGAGCCTGTGTGGCGGACTGCATCCGGCGCCAAATGCTCTGGGGAATAGTTGTGAAGCTCAGAAGACGTGAGCTTTGATGGAGGATCGGGTGGCACACCTGAAAGACCATCGGTTCTCCGCGCATGAGGATTGGTGTGCAGGTCTGCATGATCGATGACAACCTCTACAGCATGTGTGGCATATGTAGTCTGCAGTGCCATAGGCGCGCCAGGTACGTCGTCCTCAGCTGCGTCAGTCATAGTCGCAGCCTCTCGGAAGTTTGGCTGTGGTTGACGGCTTATGACTTTAACTTCGGCTGCGGGAGACTGCGGGGCTGAAGATGGTCGCTGCTGGCAGGACGCAGAGAGCGTCGAGGTGGGTGGGGAGGCGCCTTCGGACATCGTTGACGCTGAAGTCTTCGCGACCAAGGGGGGAATAGTGAGCGTGAGGATATCCGTAGTCTTGGCAGACTCCAGGGCATGCGGCGATAAAGCCGTCGTGGAGTCTGACATGTCTGAGAAATCGTGGTCTGTGTAGGCCGGAGAAGACATGCGGGTGGCGAGAGTGCCCGAGGGACAATCGGCCGAGGACTTCGAAAAAATGCACCTCGTGGCGACCCGGTCGTTGGCTACAGGAACGTATTGAAGAAGCTCGTCGGATTTCGTGGCTGACTGGTCGCGTGCAGCACGAATGTTCTGAACCTCGTCGGATGGGCATTCGTACGCGGGACTCGCGTTGATAGTGGCCGGACGAGATGTTGTAGGAGACGTAGTCGGGGAAGTTAGGTCCTGGTGAGTGAAGACTTTCGGGCTGGAGGGTACCGCACGCTGCGACGCAGACGAAACCTGTAAGTCGCGGGTGAACGGCAGCGGGTGGTAGGTGAGGCCATAGCTGGCAAGCACCGCCGAGCAGAGGTCATCGTAAGGCTGCTGGCTGGAGGTTGAAGTGCCAGAGAGATGACGCAACTCTACTGGAAGGGCGTCTTGAAGAATGGCGTGCATCAGCGGTTGGTCCGTGACGCCATTCAACGCCAGAACGGCATCGAGCTGCATGAACCATACCTTGGGGTAGATCGATTGGAATGGCGGCACTGGCGGGCAGAGTTGCGGGAACATGGCAGCGGGCCGCTCGGCGAAGGGCGTGATCTCCGGGTCACCAATGTAGCGCCGAGAGAAGAGAGACGTGAGACGGCGTCGTAGGCAGCCGACGGGGCCGTGCCGATCGCGCCACTTTATTCCACGCCCTTCGCCGAGCGGCGGTAGCTGTCCCCGTTCAATGCGCCAGGTGCGTGAGCCTGTTCTAATCCTCGCGCAGCTCGAGCTAGCATCAGCTGCGCGAGAGGCGCGGCGCGGCGATTGAGAAATGATGATGGTGATGATGGCGCTACAATGTCATTGGCGCACCTGACTTTCTGTCTCCCCTTGGTGCGTTTGCCTTTTCTGGGACTCCAGTCAGTTACCCTTAACGGCCAGCGGTTATCCTGCCTATGTGCTACGAGCCTGGCCCATATTCATTTCTTCTTCTTGATTTCAACTATGATGTCCTTAACCCTGGTTTGTTCTCTGACGCACTCTGCTCTCTTTTTGTCTCTTAAGGTTACTTAAGGTGGCTGGAGCGTTACAAAGGCCAAGGGGCATGACCTCAAATTGATATAGGTCATCGGGGGTGATGAATGCAGTCTTTTCACGGTCCATTCTATCTGCCAGTAGCCAGAACGCAGGTCTATAGAGGAAAAATAGTGGGACCCACAGAGGCAATCAAGGGCAGCATTTATTCGTGGCAGAAGGTACATGTCTTTTTTAGGTAATTTTGTTTAGATGTTGATAATCAACCCAGAAACGCCATGCTCCGTCTTTCTTGCGGACTAGCACTACAGGAGAAGCACAAGGACTGCAGGATGGTTCAATGATGTCCTTGGCGAGCATTTTGTCGAGCCTCACTTTGGATAATGTGACGCTCGGCCGCCGACACACGATATGGGCGCCTATGAGCAGGATGCTCATTACCAGTGTTTATGCGGTGAGTCATACCAGTAGCTTTCCCCAATAGATGGCCGCTGAGGTCAAAAACGCCGATGTAGGACAGCAGAACCCGGTGGAGCTCGTCAGTCTGCTGTGGCGTTAAGTTTGAAGTGATCATCGACCTAATAGCGCTGTCGAAGCAAGTGTCAGATTGATGTTTAGCATTGGGGTCAGAAGGAGTGGCCATCGTGAAAACATCTACCGCTTTGTCTTCTAGGTGCAGAGCAATGTCAAAGTGATCCCTTGTGGCAGCACTTGAGGTGTCAAGCTAAAGTTGACAACTGGGAGGCACGTAGAATTTCCTGTGACAAACATAATGGTGTGCAGTAATCTAATGCTGCAGTTTCTGAGGACATCGGTGATAGGAGTCGAAACATAGTCACCGCTGGGAACTGGCGGTATTGAGACGAGTCAGTGGCTGTGGAGGGAGGCGCGCATGTCCTGTTGTGCAGAGGCGACTCGACCGTTGTGCAAGAGGTTCTGTTGCGGGCAAGTGTAGACGGAGCGTACTGGTCAAAC